TGTGTGTGTGTGTGTGTGTGTTCAAGGTCAAAATTTTGTCACTCACATTGAGCTCTAATGCCAGTCAGTCACACTGGACATCGGCCTGCATTCTCAGCTGCTCTGCTAAGTCCTTCATGTGTGTATACAACACACACACGCACGCACGCACGCACGCACGCACACACACACACACACACACACACACACACACACACACACACACACACACTTTATCACATTATACTTCTGTCTTCATCTCGCTCCGTCTTTGCTCTGTATCTCTTCTATCTCTTTCTTCACATGTATTCCCAGCCTCTGTCCTCTGCTCTATCTCTCTGTCACTCAAACACACCCTGAGCCCTGCAGACATTTTCTTTCTCTCCTTCACTTTCAATCTTCTCTGTCTTTCTCCGACTCACTCCCCTCCTCCCCCGTCTCCCTCTCTGTCTCTGCCCTCATTCTCTCTCTCTGTGTCACTGCTCTCCTCGTCTCTGTGCTTTAACTTCAAAGCCTTGTTGGAGTGAATACTGTATCTCTGCAGTTCATACGTGTGTAATTGTGTGAGTCTGTACTTTGCACTATATCTATGCGTACAACGGAGTGTGTAGTGCTGTGTGGGTAGATATCTATGCATTGTAGCTGGTTTTTGTGAATGCTAACGTGAGCTGGCATCCTGCCTGCTTATCAGCAGCTGTTGTCGGCCACAGGAGAAAATTCAAGATCAATGGTATTGTGTTGCCAGCGAGCCTGCGGCCTGGCATTCAGTGATACCATGGGAATGTGTGTATGTGTGTGTGTGCGCGCGTGTGTGTGTGTGTGCCCTCACCTCGGCTCTCGTGTTGGACCCAGAAGTGCTCGACAGTTTTGGCAATGTCACAGTTCTCTCTCAGTTCTTTCTGCCACTGGCGCAGCTCCTGCACATCTGGGCGTGCCCTGATCTATAACGCGCACACAACACAGCACACACTTGAACGCAGCACACGCAAAAATTCACATAAGCAAACATCATCAATGCCTTAATTAGGCTGCAAGCTGATAAGTGCTAGTTAGCTGCCATGGTTTTTATAAAGCGGCCCATTTAGAGTTTGGTGCCCATTTGGTGTTTTACTCGTATGGTGGTTAAACAGTGAAAGCGGCTCATTTACTGGAGACACGGTGACCTCAATACTTCATACTCTGCTTTTGTCAGGTCACATTTTTCTAGCTGACAATGCTTTCGCTCTATAATTGTGCTCATGTGACGTGATAAATGGACAATATCTTTACTGCGTGCTAATGTAATTGTCGGTCATTCTGTCGGCTTTGGACTTTCCTGTATCTGTTTAATCTCTTCTCTATACTTTATTTTCCTTGACTTTATATAACTATAAAATGTTTTATTTAGATTTTCCATGGAAGGCACCTTGTAACTTGGAAGTATTTCAATGCTGGAAAGATGATCTTCTCATAAAACTGGGCTGTCTGTGCAGCAGAAAGACACAAATACTTGTACTCTGTGTCGACGTAGAGCCTACGCCACACCCTAAGCCATAGCCTGCACCTCCCCAGAAATGTAACTGCGTGTTGCGGCGATGCAGACCTCCTGTCTATTTTTGTAAGCTGAAACCATTTCCCTCAGTGGAAACAAAGCTTTAATTTATTTTAACTTTAACACAGATAAGAAACAATAAATTGTGAAGACAATAAAGCCTCCACAAAATAGCATTTTAAGTCTTATGAGTGATTTATCCTGGCTGCATATAAGTAGAGAAAAACTCTGGTCATCACTTGGCTAACGGAAAACGTGTTTTGTGTAAGACAGTTGTTTTGTTGGTGAACCCTGTGAGTTTAAATAGAGCTGAATTTTGTAACATTATCTTTGTTTAATGTTGCTGTTGTTCCTGGCTTCATACGAATAGAGGAAAAGTCTGCTAGCCACTAGGCTAATTTATACAATGTAAAATGCCATAGGCTTGTGCTAAAAACATTAGCATGTTGTATTTCTGGGGAAAATGGGTCCAGATAAAGACAAGTGTTTGTCTGTGAATGCTGCGAGTTATAGGGAAGCTGATTTGTGTACTTGTGTTTGAAATTTTGCTAATAATCCATGTTTAATGTGTGTTTGGGTGTAGTTTGAATCAACTAAACTTTACAGCGCTTCACAGAAACCCTGACACTGCAGTGATACAGACACACCTAAATGCTCACAACAGCGTAGGCCACGTGTGTAGATGACGGCGCAGGTTCTGCATAGAGCTGACGCACAAGTACAAATCTTGCTTAGGTGGGTAAAGGCAAAGAATAAAACAGTTACACAACATGGTAAGTTTTGAAAATTACATTGTTTTAGACTAATGCAGCCTTAGATCTAGGAAAAGACAACACATGACATTAAGATTTCCAAAATCTAAGATGATATCCAGTGTCATATCACAATACTGATATAATATAGATATATTACCCAGTCCTTCCACATAGGTGGGTAATTGGGTCAAATTCTGCTGCAGATTTATGTCAAATCTCTGAGTCTCTGACTCCTCTCTGTCTCATCTGTAGTTAGCAGTTACTCTTTTGTTCTCGGAGGAATCCTCTGTAGTTGTTGTGTGTGTGCTGCTTGCTTTCCTGAGAGATTACTACACAGACTTGCTGTTTTAGATGATTAGAAAATGTCCCTGAAGAGCTCACTCTCCTTTCCTTTCTTTATCTCCTCCTCCTACTTTTCTCCCACTAACTCGCCTCCTTCTCCTTCCACGTCTTCCCTTTCTTCTCCTTCAGTACCCAGGTGTGCCTCTCCCTCTCCTTACAGTCAACTTCAGACACTATCTCTCATACCAACACCTAATTCTCTCCTCATTCTCCTGCACATTGACGTTTCATCTCTCTCCTCACTACTCTGTATTCTCTCCCACCTCTTCTCTCTCCAATCTTGTTTTCTCTTACTCCTCCCACTCCCTTCGACTGCTTGAATGGTGACAATAGTGTTGCTATTAGCAGTGGGCATGAAAGTGGGCCTGTTATATAAGCCTGGTGATGGGCTGAGGAATGGGTAAAACTAGCAGGCTCCAACAGTTAATTCACAGGGTGTCACAGTGCTGCAACAGCCCCTCTGCTGATGGGAGCAAACCATACAAATGGAAATGAGGGGTGAGGGTCAGGAGGGGTAGGGGGGGTTGGAGTCTGTCGTGTTTGCTCACCGTCGCTTGTGTGTGCCTATATTTGTGTCTGTGTGGCCATTCCTATTCTGTCACTTTCCATTGGTGTACTGCAGAAATGTTATACCTCCAGTTCTTCTTCTGCTGCTGACAGCTCCTGCTAAACAATGGAATAGATGTTTCACGGCCACGGGACACCTGAGACAATGTTTTACAATGTGTCACACACAAAGACAAAGTCTCAGTTCTTGGAAAGCTAGCTTTTTTGAATATGTGAACAAAAATTTAAGCGCAACACAGGTTTAAGCTAAATATCTAAGACTGTTTTATACACTCAATTGATAGGTTTCTCTAAAATTTTACTTGCAAATCTGTTAAAATCGGTGTTAGTGAGCACTTTTCTTTTTCCAAGATAATCCATCCACCTGACAGGTGTGACAAATTGAATGCTGATTAAAAAGCATGATTTCTACACAGGTATATCTTGGGATGGTCACATAAAAGGCCACTCTAAAATGTGCAGTTTTATCACACAACATAATGCCAAGGAGGTCGAATATTTTGAGGGAGGGAGCAGTGCTGTTGCCTGTGAACGTTTAAGCCCCGTTTCCACCAAACACTTTTGGTATGGTACCTTTGGAACCAAAAGTAACCCTTCAGACATGGTACCTAGACCCTAGGTTTTCCACTGCAAACAGTACCCTTAGATGTGGGCGGGGTTGTTGTCACTCACTGCTCCGTCCAGCACTCACTGTATTTCCTCATTATCGGTGACACAGATGGAAGTCTGCACCTCGTTTATCGTCCACAGAACGAGGCTGCACGCTGACATTTTCAGAACAAAATAAAACAGGCTGCAGTGAGAGTCTCTCTCCATGGGATATTTAAAAATAGCAGGTTTGTGCATCTAGTCCTTCTCAGGTAAGCTCAGGGGTTTAGTGCTGCTGGAGCCCACAGGAACAACGATCCACAACACTTTTTTTTTCTCCGAGTGAGGATTGGGATATATGCTGCTCACATAACCCCGGTCAAAATGAATACATATAAAGGCTTGAAGATTCACTCATTACTAAAAGTGTATGTCATATAAAAACTTCACATCACCGGCTCATTACAGGTTAACATTCCTTAAAAGTTCCTGCAGTCCGACCAGTGAATAAACTTTTTTTTCTCTGACTCCAGCTGCTGCAAGAGGCAGCAAAACATCCTTTCATTTTATAGTTACAGTCTAATAAAACTCTCCACAGTATGAACAGTGGTTACATGAGCCTCAAAACCAGCCACAACTCAGCCCTGAGCAGAGTGACCGTCCTCTACTGACCAATCAACAGACTGCAGTGTTCACAGCTCCACCTTTTAGTACCAGATCTGTGTGCTAGGTACCCCAACAGAGGGGGGACCAAAAATGGGGACGGTACAGTACAGTTCCATTGGTACCGTCCACAACTTTTCACAGTGGAAATGGGGAAAAAAGTGCACCGAATTGAACTGTACTGTACTGCTTGGTGGAAACAGGGCTTTAATATTAATTTCACTACAATAAGCCATCTCCGGTGTCATTTCACTGAATTTGGCAGTACATCCAAATGTCCCCACAACCACAGAAGTTGGCTACGATGACAAACTGCTGTCAGTTCAAGACCCTGGTGAGAACAGTAAGCATGCAGATAAAGTTCCCTGAGAGTTTCTGATGGTTTGTACAGAAATTCTTCAGTTGTGCAAAACAAATTTTTGCATCAGCTGTTCAGGTGGCTGGTGTCAGACAGTTGGATGTACTGTCAAATTCAGAGAAACGACATTGGAGATGGCTTATGGTAGTGGAATGAGGATTCAGTTCACAGGCAACAGCACTGGTGGAAGTTCCTGCAGTTAGCATGACTATGGCACTCTCCCTAAAAACTTGTGACATATGTGGCATTGTGTTGTGTGATAAAACCCCACATTTTACAACAGCCTTTTATTATGACCATCCCAAGGCACACCTGTGCAGTAATGATGCAATTTAATCAGCATCTTGATATGCCACACCTCTCAGGTGGATGGATTATCTTGGAAAAGGAGAAGTGCTCACAAACACAAATTTTAACAGATTTGTGACCAAAGTTTGAGAGCGTATAAAAAAAGTCTTAGATCTTGAACCTAAACCTGTGAAAAATGGGAGCAAAAACAAAGTATTACGTTTCAATTTTTCTTCAGTACTCATGCCTTCTACAAGAGGCTGCCAGTTTGTCTGTGATAGCAGGAGACAAAGAGCTGAGTTGAGTGTGTGTGTGTGTGTGTGTGTGTGTGTGTGTGTGCGTGCGTGCGTGCGTGAGGGTTTTGAAGCCTGTCTGTGTGCATCAACACAGCTGATTAGCAGGGGTTAGGTATTGTTTAGACCGTATGCATCAAGGATTCTGTGAATGTGTTTCTCTGTATGTTGTGTGTGAGCGTACATACATTTGAATATGATTTAGAAACACCAAATTCAGTTTTCTCATCAATTCCTTCTGGTGAGAATTATAAATGAACCTCTCATAAAGAGCATCGTGTTGCTATGATTGTCCATGTGACTGCAAATGTGTCTCATACCGTGTGTGTGTGCATGAAGGCTGGGATTAGAGCGTTAGATAAAGTAATAAGGCTGCATGCATTCATGCACATTATTTGACACGCAAAAGTACAACCTCAAGGAAACAGCCTCACATATTGAAAATTGCACAACATACTAAAAAAGAGGGACTCCATCCTCCTCCATCTCTCAAAGCCAGCAGCACAAGCAGAACCCCCCACGCTCACCATGCACCCACAAAAACGCGTACAACCAC